TTACTTAGGTAACATTGTAAGTGAGCATGGTGTGCAAACTGATCCTGATTATTTTTGCAAAAATAATCTATTAGAAATTGGTCTCATCCGTGAACATCACAGCAATGCACTTACCATCCCTTATTTTGAACTGATAGGAAGAAGTGATGGAAATTTGTGTATTAGTGTGATTGCTGTCATCAGTATTTCAATTATAATACGGAAGTTTCATCAATACCATAACATTACTTTCATTTCATTTTAACTGTTGGGTGCATTGTTTTTGAGTTTCGCGCAAAGCTACACGAGGGCTATCTGCGCTAGCCGTCCCTAATTTAGCGGTGTAAGACTAGAGGGAAGGCAGCTAGTCATCACCACCCACCGCCAACTCTTGGGCTACTCTTTTACCAACGAATAGTGGGATTGACAGTCACATTATAACGCCCCCACGGCTGAAAGGGCGAGCATGTTTGGTGTGACCCTCAGATTGCGAGTCGAGTGCCCTAACCACCTGGCCATGCCGGGCCTTAACTGTTGGGACGAGTTGATAAATACTGATTGAATAGTGTTTCAATTGTCATTCAAAAACATTTAACCATTTTTTTAAACAAGCTCAGAACAGATGGATAAAATCTGTTTACCTACTTAAGCATCACTTTATTGCACAGTCTGCCACATATATTTTTATAACTTTAATAATTTAAAGTAAAGCTTGAGACGCAAATCTGGAAACTGCTTTGTTAAAAAAGAAACACAGGCATATAAATTCTATAATTTTGTTTTTTGTTTCAACAGTTGTTAACATTACCCTTTTGAAACAACATTCTCAATCTATGAACTATAATTGTTACTGTGTTTGATCTACGTTATAGTATACAGTTTAAATATTTAAAGAAAAGTAATTACATGCTTTAGATTTATACCTAATTAGTTTGTGTATGCTTTAAGTTAACTCTTTTTTTTTGGTTAAAGGAAAGAATAATTCAAGAACAAAGTGGTTTAATAACTTATTATACCTTATATATAACCTATGTACGTGCTCACATATGAAAAACATATGTTGAGTATTTGTATTTTTAACAAAGCTAATAAGGTTACCTGCTGCCTTCTTTAATTTTGAACCACTGACCAGATTGAATGCAATCAGTAACACCCCACCATCTAATATTCATGCTAAAGGATTGACTGTCACTCGTATAAAACACCCTTAGTTTAAAGTGAACGTCTGATAAACAGGACAATTTTCAATATTTGATAGCTTTCTCCCTCTTTTAACCACACTTTCCCTTATTAGATAACGCTTATTGCTTTGATAACGATAAAGTATAAACTCGGTTACTGTGATCTTTGACTTGTCAGTCAGTTCGACCATCCTTACAAATGATACATTCTTCAGTCGAGCCCCTACAAAAAATCTCATTCAAAGTATAATAAATCTTCCATCTTTCCTACTATAGCCATAACTAATGTTCATAGAATTTACCATCTTTATTTATAGACCACTGGTGATTTTATTTATCTATCATGTAAATACTTGCTTTTCATAAATAAAGTGAGAACCAATGTATTATGTAGGTCGGGACTTCTGATATTTTGACAGTGAGTGTCTGTTTGTATGCAACGGTGGAATGAACACAAATTTTGGACTCGGGAAATTGGCAAAGGATGATACAGTCAGAACACAAATTGTGGACCCTGAAAGAGTTGTAAAGGATGATATAATCAGAATAAAACTGCAAACTTGATAAAATTGTCAAAGGGTGTTACAATAAGAACAGAAACTGTGGACTCGGGAAGAGAGGCAAATAAATGGTGATACAATCAGAATAGAAATTTAGACTCGGGAAGAGCGACAAAGGGTAATATTTTGATTATGAAGTTAGTACACAGGATCACATACAAAAGTTGTAATGATTTTCAAGCGAGACTCAAACTCTATAATTTACCTATTCTTCTTCAGGGTTTTGGGTCTCATTTGAAAACCATTACAAAGCGTAATATAATCAGAACACAAGTTATGAACTTCAGAAGAGTGACAAAGGGTAATATTATCAGAACACAAGCTGTGGGCTAAGGAAGAGCGGCAAAGGATGATAAGATCAAAATAGAAACATTAAACTTGGGAAGATTGACACAGAGGCAGTATGATCAGAATACAACTTGAAAAGAATGGCAAAGGGTGACACGATTAGAACACAGACTAGACTCGGAAAGAATGATAAAATCTTTAAGTGCTTTGTTCATAGGTATTCTTAGTGTCATATTGACATTTGGTTCAACTGATTAAATATAAAGTAGACCAGAAAGAGAAAGTCGATATCCGGATTCTTAGGTAGCATCTAGTATCTTTTTTGGTAAATGTTATTTGCTTGGATGTTATCGAATAAGGTAACTGAATAATCAGTCCCTGCAATTTTCGTAACCCGCAGCACTTCAGTAGTCCAGACTTTCTGATTCACCGTGGTCCACAAGCTTTTGTTCATGATGCAATTAAAGACTAAGCACTGTCCATGTAGTGGACGATAGAAAGTGTATCTGATACCTAGTTTCAATTATTGTTATATGCCTTTGTCCTGTGGCATGCTGAAAAGTTTTCACTTACTGAAAGCACTTTCATTCACGTGAAAAAGCTTTACATTCGAGGGCTATCACGCCTGACACTATTTGCTAAGCATGCGATCATTGCTTATTTTTGGTCTAGCTAACTTTTTTCAAACTAAGTAATAACAGTACATGCTATTCTACACCAGGCAGTAACCCTAGTCCTGTGTCAATTAATTTAAAAAAGGACAAACTTTATGAACAGATGTGTAAAGTCCCTAAGCAAGTGTAAAATATAGAAAAAACAAATCTGCTCAGTGTGTGCTATATTAATTGATCAGGTCGTAAACACGTATTAATCCCATTACATATGTAAATGTTTTAAATAACAATAAGTATTGCATAGAAGTTTCTACTATTTTGTCCCTATGTCTACTCCATGGGGCAGGATTGTTTGTTTGTTTCTTGAATTTCGCGCAAAGCTGTCTCTGTCTTGAGCAGTTGTGTCTGAAAATCTTTCCTCTTTACCCCATCATTTAGTATAGACACAAGTGAATTTAACAAGCCAGCCAGTTAAGAATTAATACAATTGCTGCTCCAGTAAATAAAGTTTGTTTTTCCGTTGTTGTGAGTTCCAATTTATCCTTTCAATAACATTTCTGGTACCTATTATATTTGGGAATCTTCTGTCTCCCTGTTAGATATCAGTGTATCTTAACACCACATGTCATTCGAGGCTTTATATATATCTAACAATCGATTAAAACGATGCATTATTTTACTTTTTTCTTCTTCTCAAATTCCTCTTTAATTATCTTTTTATAGATTCTAAGTTAGAAGTGTTTTCTAAGTGTTAAAAATGCCATTTTTTACACACCTCTGATTAAAAATAAACAAGAGCAATCAAAGAGATTGCTTACTCTAGCCTCGCCATTCCTTTTCGAGATTGCATGCGTTTATATCGAATAACGTACAATTTCACCTTCGAAAACTCAGAAAATACTTCTCAAATTCAGAATGATCAACGATCCAGATCATTTTCTGTAGTGTGATGAGGAGACTCAACCTTAATGTACACATGAAATTTGGTACAAATTCGATCGCACTTTACAGTTATTGACCCCAAACCGCGAAAATGCCCTATCTCCCCCTTATAAAAAACGTTGTTCCATACTGATTTCCCACCTTACATGCCGAAGATTTCAGAATCAGTTTGATTCAAGATAGCTTTTGCTGAAGACTGTCTTCACATTCTATAGTAGCAGAATGGTTGTGTATTATCTAGCCATGCAGGCCTTCAATTCTGTTCCTCTTTTTTTTTTTCCAGGTGAAGGGTGTACAGTATATATACCTTGTCTGCCAAATTCATAACCACAACTCTGTTTTTGTATGTTCAGATGTTATTTTGGTGTTGCGCCTTTTTTTTTTGGTGTTGCCCCTTTTTTAATAACATATTTATATATGTGAATAAAGGAATAGTGTGTTTTTCACCAAATAAATATAATTATTTTTTTGTTATTGGTTCATGGATAAGATCCAAAATGGGGATATAAATTCCATGAAATAAAACATAATATTACTTTCATAGCTTAAAAATATGTTTGTTTTTGCATAACAAAAAACAATTTTCAAATTATCTGTTGTGTTGTAAAGCTCATTTGTCAGATGCTCAAGTTAACAAGTCTTTAGCTTTAAGAATAATGTCAGCTCTTTCTTCTTTTTCATATTGAAATATATTGTACAGCATTAACATATCACTGGTAAAAACACTCATGTCAACTAACAACCACTTCTGCTGCATCTGTTTTTCACCAAATAAATAAACATATTACTGAGAATTTATATATTGTTATCTATTCAGTAGCTTCAATTTCTTCCTTAAAAATAGAGGGGCAGATTCAGACCCTTTGAGGCCCCTAGGATGATTCAAAGTTGAGGTCCCCATCCAATTTCATGGGTTGCACCCCCACTAGATCTAGCACTGATGTATATATGTATGTATGTATGTATATATATATATATATATATATATATATAGACATATATGTACCAATTTGGGTCTTACTTCTTCCAGTAGCTCAAAAACCAGGACACATTACACGATGACCAACCTTATGATTTGTGCCCCAGTTTTGAATATTTGTTCTGTGGCTCTATTTTTATTATTTTTTCATGTACATTTTTGTATATTTATTATTTCTTTTTTCTTCTTGATAAAATATAAAGAAAAAATATTGAGTAGCCATCAATAAATGAACACACACACTAGTTGGAAAGATATTACAGTTTTACACACCAAATTTACATCAGCATACATACAATAATATAACATGTTTACCAATGTTTTCGATGAATGTATTTCTAAGGTTTTTACCATAATATTTCCTAACTTTAAAACCTGCCATGAGTTTAACTCACTTCCATAGATGATGCATTTTTATCTTAAAAACACAATTTACAAAATACTCAAATGTAAATACAATTATGTAAAACTTAAGAAATATTTGTTTTTCAAAGTAATTTATAAAATGGTTAAAAAATAACACATTCTACTATCATAGAGGTACTGCCCACTGTTTCAGAATACATTACTACCTTGTTTGTTGCTAAAATATTCAAATTACTGTATTCAGTGTAAAAATTACCACATGTATGTATTCTAAAGTTACTTTTAAAGACCTTTCAATAAGATTTTTGAGATCTCTACATGTAGAGAAAAAGTTGGTAATGGATGTAATGTAGAACAAGATGTAGATAACATTTATGATAAGTCATAAAGTACATTAATAAAAAAACATTTTTTGAAAATTAAAAATAAAGAAATCAAATACTGTTAATACAATAAATATATTAAATATTTAAATTGCAATTTATCTAAAATATCTAAACAATATTTTCAATCTTATTGTTCTAGGGAAAACTTGAATGTAACAGTATAAAATGCTCTCTCTCTCTACCTACACACACACACACACACATATATATATATATGTACGTACTATGCACCTCAAATAAGAGAAATAACTAGAAATAAACAAGACTGAAAGAAGTAGCTGACAATCAATCCATGTTGAATGAATACAGAGTTGAATTGATTTAAAAATTTTGCTTCTATATAAAACACACTTTATAAGCAGGAAGTTTTGTACATTATGTACTTTGAGTCATTTGAAACCAATGTATATTTACACAAAAAAAACACAGAAAAACAATTTACAAAAAAATCTATGAACTCTAAAATTTCATCAGATCACAAGCTTTACCAAAAAAATCACCTGTACAAAATTTTACATAAGTAAGTGCACCAACTTGAAATAGCATAACCCCCCCCCCCCCCAAATGTATATTTCAATAGAACATTACACATTAAGATAAAGTTCCAGCTTCTAATGAAATGTCCACTTTTACAAAGTCTCAACTTGAATGTCAATCAATGAGTTTAAAGGAGAAAAATATTGAAAAGAGGTGAGACTTCAATAGTGATCACTAAACTCGCTTTGATCCCTTTTTTTAATACAATTTCAGTGGTATTTTGTCAAGTACACTAATTATAAGCATGTGTTAATTGACAGGTTGAGAAGAGTTACACTTATATTATTATGAGGATGTGTATAGGAGTGGCAGCAGAGTAAAGTTTTTTTATACAAATTGAAGTACACAAAACACAGTAATGGAAATCTAAACATCCCAGCATCCACTACATTAAAATCACACTAATTCTAAGAAAGTTTTTTTCTTTGTGGTAATAGCTGGGATATATATATATATATACACACACACAAACAACTTTCTAGTCTACATTCATTAAACAGAAACATTTAAGTTACTATTTTAAGAATGTTGGAACCTCTTCAATTCTTGTATATTTTTAAATGAAGAAAAACACACATATTAAAAGATGGTTCCCATGAGAAACAGCTAGTTGTGGTGCAGATTTGGAACAGTTGCTGAATATGTCAACGTGGCCAATCCTGTATATTTGTCACAATGAAACATGAGCTCTAATTAATGAAATTCTGATAAGAATCTTCAGGGTTTGTTAAAGCCTATTCCACTGTCTATGAGGCTTAGGAATTGCTTCATATGGTATTCTATGGTGGAATTACCAGTTATGTTGTAATGTGTATATTTTTACACCTTGGAAAACTGCAAAATGTTTGATAGAGTAGACACAGCACTAGCTACTGCATGAAATATTCTGAGTGTTCCGAGGGAGTGTCTTTCTCAAACCTTTTGGCTTCTTCCTGCATACTCTCTTTGATTTTTAGAATTGCTGCTGATTCATTCTGATCCTATGAACATAAGAAAATAAATCAATATTTCACACTTCCATCATTGATGCACAAGTTACACCACAGCAACCTGTTGAAAAGCCAAACTTAGCAAGTTGCTTGAACAGGAAATATTCATAACACTAAATAAAATTACATTCTTTTATAAAGGTTGTTTTACCCTGTGAAAAACAAATAGTGCATATCTCAACCTGCAAGGTTTAAGATAAGTTATTAAAATGACAGAGGATAGTAACTGCAGGTGAGGGGTGGAGGTTGTTGTATCATGCACAAAATAAAGGTATTTCAAATACAAAAAAAAAATATATATTGAGGAAAAATGTATATTAACCTATTCCTAGGAAGAAGAAAGATATAGATTAAAATAATTACTTAATAATTTCACCATTGAAGTCTGAAACTGACTCAAGACAAATCAAAAAGCAAGTTAAACAAGTTTTGTAAGATAATTAGGAAAGGATTAATGATATAGTTGAACTGTAAGTAATAAAGAATAATAAAAATATTAAACAAAATACAATTTCGGTGGCACTGATAAGTGAAATAATTTGACTATCTTATGTAAGTTATCTGTTTTAAGATTCCTCTGCTGTTCAGTTTTGCCAAAAACGAGTAGCTTGAGTTTTTCTGCACACCTATACCTTTCAGAAATTTAAGTGCAGTATTTGCTGAATTTTCTATCAGCAAACTTCAAGTTCAGCAAAGCCGAGTTTTGTACTTTGATCGAGTCTTAGCTGAGAAAGAGGGAATTACAAACATTTTCCAAAAGCCTAGGTTTAGAACAATGACAAGACAGTATGATCAAAGGTTTATGCTAGAAAGAAGGTAATTTTATGAAATCTATTCTACAGGAGAGAAAATTATAGGAAGCCAGTGCATTCAAAAAAGGAGCTCGGTAAAAATTATACAGAACAATTAAAATAAATTCAAAAGGCTAGAATAAAATTGATAAAATAAACAAAAACAAAAAGTTGTCCTCAGCTAAAGTTTAAGTCTTCAGCATGTGAAAGCTCACATATGAAGCAGGGAAGTAAGTGCACTAAGGATGAAGGGTAACGACTCCAGTGAAAAGACCGATTGCCAACGTACCTGGAACTTTATCCTGCACTTAAATTTCACAAGGGTGTGCCCTGATGACCAGTACAAGCCTGCAAATGGCACTGCATGTCAATTCCTGATGTATCCCCTGGTATCTGTATCCCAAGAATATAGCATCAGCAGTTGGCCTCCTATACACACTGAAACTAGATTCTTGGCCAAACCTCAGCACTGAAAACTTATGCTAAGCAATTTGATCAATATTCTGTTATTTTTCCTAAACACAGCAGAGTAAAGAAGCATAGAAAACAAACACAGAGAACACCAGGAAATAAAATAATATGAAATTTGGTTTAATAAAAAATGAACTCAGATATATCTGTTCCAGAAAGATTAAAGAATTTATAATACCTAATAATAACTTACATTTTCTTGTCCATAACCAGGGATACCAAACTCACTCATAGGAGGTCCATCTTCTCTTGGTGTTCCTGGCCCATTAGCAGGAGAAGCTTTCATCCCATCTAAACCATCACCTAAGATCATATACACAGTTTCAATGAGTGATAAATATTGTACTGAGAACAGAAATGCTACTTGTAGCTAAAAACAGAATATAGAAAATATTGGTAGTGCAACATTCTTAAAAATATTTACAGTGTATACGTGCCCATAAAACATGTAAATGTGCAGGAAAACAGTCTTTTGTTTGTTTTTATTTGTATGTACACAGCCACATAAAGAAAAAAAGGCCAAAGCATCATGGACTACTGGAAAAACTAGCAGATCATGTAATTGATAAGGAAAAACATATTCAGATGAAGAGAGGAGCAGAAAACAGATTTAGGAAATACATAAAAACTGTTGTTTATAATAAAACAGAAGGAAGCTGTAATGTTTTCCATTTCATTCTTTATATATGCATATAATTGAACTTAAAAAAAATATCCAACACAATTAGTTATATGATACAAATATAAATCTTTTTCATGTCTTATCTCCTTCACATGATGAGACAGTAAGTGTTTACCTAAACTCTTATCAATAAACCTTTTAAAAAAGTAACATATCACCTGAAGTCATGCCGTTCATTACTGGTGGACCTATGTCAGATCCAATAGGACCCATTGAACCATCAGGAGCAGGACCCATCGGAAACTGAACAAAGAAGTATGAACACAATGTATTTAGATGATCTTTGTAAAAACCAGACTATTAAGAACTCATAAATCCTCTAACAAGGATTAAAATTAGATTGAATAATGAAAAAACAAGAAAAAGACAGATTTAATTGTTGAGCATTCTTCTTAATTCCCTTTACTAAAATGATTACACATTTTCCTAACTCCGGGTCTGACATTTACAGAAATTAATCCCTCACCCCTGTCATGTTTCCTCCTGGAACAGGCTTCATCATTGTATACATCGTTTCTCCACCAGAGTTAGATGCATCTGAACATATATAATTAATAACATATTAGTATAGTAAGTCACTAAAACTTTTAGCTTATCATAGAATAAACAGAAACATATATAATTCAGGTTCCAGTTCCAAACTTCACTACCAAAAATGAATGTAAATGTTTCACATGTAATATAAAATTAATGCAATAGTAACAGTTCACTGTACTAGAAAATACGAGAACTAAATAAAAACTGAATCATTTGACAATTAGTCAGGATGTAAAAACACAAAAACATACACACTAACATTCATGCACATAAAATCAGCCTCAATAGCACTGATTATTCCACAAGATTATAGACAAGAAAAACATGAATATTGCTAAGTCACTGAGACTGTGTTGTTGTTTTCATTAATGATGTGACTGAAATGGTGATAATTTTATTAATAAAGTGACCGAAGCAGTGCTGTTTTCATTTATGAAGTGACTGAGACTGTGATGTTTTCATTAACGATGCAACTGAAATGGTGATAATTTTATTAATAAAGTGACCAAAGCAGTGCTGTTTTCATTTATGAAGTGACTGAGACTGTGATGTTTTCATTAACGATGCAACTGAAATGGTGATAATTTTATTAATAAAGTGACCGAAGCAGTGCTGTTTTCATTTATGAAGTGACTGAGACTGTGCTGTCTTTTATTAATGAAGTGATTGCCAGTATTGTTTCTTAATGAAGTGTCTAAGACTGTGCATTTGAATTAAATATGTAATTGAAATTGTGTTGTTTTTAATGTAGTGACTGTGTGTTTTTTGTATTAATGAAGTGACAGACTCTGTCCGTGTTTTTGTTATTGAATAAAAGGAATTTTATCTAGATTAATTAGTCTTTACATTGGAGTAAAGTGATACAATAGTAATACTAAGTAAGGTAGGTAAGTTCTTTTGAAAGATTCATTTCAGAAATGTCTAGGATTAATTACATCATATAAAATTAATCCAGTTATATTAACACATAGAAAATATATAGAAAAGCAACAAAATTATATTCATCTAAATTATGATGACAACAAATGCAAAATGAGGAACATATACACAAACTTTACACAAAAACTTCATTGGAAAAAATATATACACGTTACCCTACAAGAATCTACTACAATGACCTAGAGTGCTATATAAAATAATTTGTAACTGATTTACACAGTATCTGTAATAACGACAGTGTCAGAAGGAAAAGAAAAACTTACTTCACTCTTGTAAACATCACTGGACCAAACCTAACACACAAGGTAGTTTGAAGTGAGGAATTAGAAGCATCAAGCAAAAGAAATATTTGGTACTACATGCAAAAATTCATGCTGCAGAATTAAGATCTTCGATAGAAACCCATAAAGCAGTAAAATTAAACTGTGTTTAGCATAAACTCTGGGTACAAACTGGCTATTTTTATTAAGCACAGAAGGTAAAAACTTTTCTTAGTACATAAAGTTTCTTTAGGAATTCAGAACCATAGATTTTTTCCCCTTTTAATTATGTTTGTATAGTTACATAATGTTATCTAAGACAGAAGGTGGGCTAGTTACCCATTAGTTTTGCAATGGAAAGAAGTGATTACTCAGCTAAGCCACAAATGAAATATAATCAAGCACTGTGTTGCAGTAAAGTATGATCTTGTTAATGAAATCAGCTTTGTCAGAAAAATTTATAAAGAGTTGGTACTATGAGAGCATCACCTCTTCGCGTGTTGGGGGTGTTTATTCTTGGAGTTGCAGGGGAATAAGTGCCAGCTGTACCTAGAACACATGTAATAATTGCTCAATCTTGCCAATAGATGGCACTTTACTACAAGATTGTATGAGAGATTGAAAGGTAATTAAAAACTGAATTTAACAGCAATGATAAATAATAATGCAAATCAAACATGAAACACAAAAGGAGTTCAAAGAGTACAAAATTCTACTACAGAAATACTTTATTCACTTTCAAAAGAACTTTTATATTCTCCTTTACAGGGCTCAAGCTACAAACGGACTTCTACTAACAAACTCTCTATAAAATCTTTACTTTTAGCAAACGTCTGGCAAAAATAAGAAAACTTCTCATCGAAGTTTAATAAACTCCATGCTTTGAAATATCAAATATCTCCTATTCATTGTAACCCACATATAAATTCTCTCTTAAAGTATGCACAACTCATTTTGAAAATGCAAAGTTTGGGCGAGAAGTACACTTATGATAAACAAGTATTTCAGCTTTGCTACGTTTGTGTTAAAAGACAATTCTAAGCTAAGGTTAAACAGTATATAAAGTAATACTTCTGTTGATAAGCTCTCCTTTAAACTTAGCTAAAGTGCAACAATTTAACATATCAGAATGCTCAAACATTTTAATTAGAAAGTGAACAAGACTATTTTCAAACAGAGAGACAGTCAGTTTCTCACAAGCTAGTGACAGTGCGTGAAGCAAATAATTAATTTTCAGGTATTTTGTAGCTTTTGGTGCTGGTCTAAGTAGGTATCTTTCCCTGGTCAGAAGTTAATGATAAATACTTTGATAATTAGATAAGGTTACAAAATTCTTATTTTGAGAATAAACTTTTATTTCTATATTTTTTCAATAATTCCGTATAAGCTGAGTTATTGCAAAGATATCTGTTAACATGGATGAGAAGTATTCTAATGCATGATTACCATACAGAGACATAGAACCTAGAGTAGACTGAGTTAATTAATGCCATCTTAAATCTTACCTTGTGGGTTTGGTGTTAGGGATGTTCCTGTACTAGACACCAGTGGACCCTATGATATAGAAAAGTACCACAAGTACCAGTGAAAAACATGTATATATCAAGCTTTTCAATGGAAATAAATTGTTGATAAAAAAACTCCAAAATTTTGATATAGAATTGACCAATTATTTTTCATCATGAAAATCTTTGTAACTTAGTATTAACAATGTACTAGAACGTTCAAAAATGTAAAATTAATTTCATTTTTTGTTGGTAAAGACCAGAAAATGAAGTAAAACATTACACTAATATTATTACTAATTTTTCTTGACAAAGTATTATTAACTATCCATACTGGTCTAGATTAGAATTAGGATGTTTGTCATAATTCTATATAAAAAGATTATTTCCTCCACATATACACACACACAAACTAACCATTACAAAACTTTTACCTAAAGGTGATATGAGATCAAAAAATGTTTCCTTTATTAAAAGCATTTACTTTGTAACATTTGGGGCAAACAGCATGTTCTAAGCCTGTAAGCTATAATGATGTACACACACTTCTCTGTCATGAGTACTGTAATATCTGTTTATTTCATTAAATAAGCAAAACTGTGAAGGTTGAAACAAACTCAACATTTACATATAGCTAACCAGTTACAGATTCTGTATTCAAACTCAGGATTTACATATAGCTAACCAGTTACAGATTCTGTATTGAAACTTTACATATAGCTAACCAGTTACAGATTCTGTATTCAAACTCAGGATTTACATATAACTAACCAGTTACAGATTCATTATTCAAACTCAAGATTTACATATAACTAACCAGTTACAGATTCTGTATTTTAAAATGATGGTGGAAATGTAAAAAAAATATTTTTCTGAAGATTTTTAACAACCAAATTAAATGATATTTAGAATCAGCAGCAAGTTAAAATAGTGATTGTGAACTTACATGATGACCCTTGTGAAATGATTGTGAACTTACATAATGACCCCCATGAAGTGATAGTGAACTTACATGATGACCCACATGAGAAGCTGAAGAATAATTCATCTGTAAAACAACAAAGTAAAAACATTATGTTGATTTTAGTAAATACGATTAAGCAGCATGGTTGTAACTCTTTTGTCTAAACAAAAATAAGTAAGTTATCACAAAAATCTTCTTGTGGAAAATTGTTAAACACTAACAATGGATAACGTTTCAACAAGTAGAATTACAAGTCATGTCAAATCATGTCTAAATTGTTACTTCTCTCTTTGATTACTGTATAAACTCAAAAATAAAAAAATATAATTTTAGAAAATTAGTTTCTCTCAATTAAACAGGATAAACGTATAGTTTGTCACTTTCAATTTCCATGTTTGTGTATTATTTTATTTTAAGTATGGCCGTACTTAATTCACTATTAACTGATATTTTGAGCCATTCTCACAGGTAAAAACAGTTTCAGTAATACGCTTTACTCTTCCTATTTCTGAGAATAAATCTTACCGTTGATACATTAGGTTGCCATGGTCTGCCACCAGGGCCAGGTCTGTCAGAAAAGTTGAAGAAATGTTTTTAGTTTAGGATTTGATATAAAAGTACAGAAGGTTTTAATCATTTCAGTGACATATTTTTTAAATCACTACCTACCAGGTGAAAAACAGAATCTTACACATGTATAATGTCTGGTGCACAAAAAAATAGAAATGAATATTTTCAGCACAGGATACAAGAGCCTCATCTATTTTAAAGATAATAAATATATATACACAAAACAAAATGACTACAGTAACTTTCTTTACAAAGTATAACATATGTGGGAACACATTATATTCTACTAGCTGGAATACCCGTCCGTTAGATGAGTGAAATAAAAACTCATATTGTAAAAAAGGACAGGAAATTGTGCTTCTATTATTTTTTCTTAACATAATAAACATTAAAAGTACAATAAAAATACATAAAGGTACCAATATTGAAAAGAAAGACATACTGTTTTCAAGAATTCTAACAATAATGGTTACATAGATCATTCTAATGCTGAGAGATATACAACATTAGTAGGTTTTGTGAAATTAGATGTAAAGTTAGATGGAGGAAAGTATATTGACCAATTTTATTTATTTTTAGCATTCTTAATGTACTTAATTTATACATGGAGTATATTATGTGTTTGTGCATTTATAAAATATATATATTTAATTTAGATTATTTACTTTTAGTTGAAAAATGGAATTTGCATGTTTTTGTTATAGATTCTCAGTAAAATTATATCATGAAGAATGACCTTTCAAGTCATGAAACTAGTTGAAGAAATTAATAAAGGAGAACTAAAAATAGAATAACCTGATATTCCAGTGTTTTGTTACATATATGTATGTATGTATTAAGTACAAATATGTATAGATCAACAGATATCTAGGTGAACATGTATAAATCAACAGATATCTAGGTGAACATGTATAGATCAACAGATATTTAGGTGAACATGTATAGATCAACAGATATCTAGGTGAACATGTATAGATCAACAGATATCTAGGTGAACATGTATAGATCAACAGATATTTAGGTGAACATGTATAGATCAACAGATACCTAGACAAACATGTATAGAACAACAGACATCTAGACAAACATGCACAGACCAACAGATATCTAGACAAACATACATAGATCAACAGATATTTAGACAAACATACATAGATCAACAGATATCTAGACAAACATGTAAAAATCAACAGATACCTACACAAACTTGTACAGATCAACACAAACAGTTCAACAGATATCTAAACTAATATGTATAGATGAACATTTCATGTGTATATAATAGATATATTAAAAATAGTTCAACAGGTGTCTTAAAATAGCCCCCAGTGACACAGCGGTATGTCTGAGGACTTAAAACACTAGAATCTGGGTTTCTATAACAGTGGTGGGCAGAGCACAGATAACACATGTGTTGCTTTGTGTTTAACTTCAAACAAAACAAAGTCTTAAGATGAATAATTTCATGATAAATGTAGTTCAACAGATATGTTGACAAACATAGAGATACACAAAGATAACAAGCCAAGAGCTGAAAGACAAAGAAGAATATACATTTAGACAGAAGGTATACATATGGATAAGAAGTTGAATATTTAGACAAGTAAAAACTTCAGAGAAGAAAAAATTCATGTAAATAAACATATGAACAAGAAAACATAACCAGCTAAGAAGTATATTTAGATTAACTAAGAAACTCTATCCAGAAAGGAATGTACCAGATGTATCTGCTTTGGTATAACAGTATAGAGGTAAGACTTTATTCAAAAATATCATCATTGCCTTCTTAAAATGTATTTTAGGTTTATTGAGATTCAATCTATTAATTTTAACTTTATGGTTATTGAAAAAATCTAAAAATCAAAATTTTTTTAAAAAAGGAACTTTACACTGACATAGGTAGTATTCCAGGTCCTCCCGGTCCAATTGCACTATTCATTGGTGGCCTCATTGTTCCATAGTTCTGAAAAAAAAAAGAGTAGTATTCTTTTTCTCTTCTTCTTAAATTGGCATATATATAAAATTCTTGCCCTTTTCAAAGTCGAAAGTTTGAATTTTTTATTTTATTTTTATTAGCTAACCACTGGTGATTTTACACAAACTTGACCATTAGATTCTTCTTCCTTGCTTATATATTTTGGCAGGATAAGAACCACGTTCAGCTAAAACAGTTTTATATTTATAGTAGTGTGGTTGAACTTTGGAATGGTTACCTGCAGATGTGATAGGTGCAAGAAAGGAGTTTAAGGAAAGGCTTGAAAAATATTTGATTGATAAGGGCTAGATCTGAGTATTTTATTTTTATATTAAAGTTTAGTTTAGTGGATTGGATGGCCAAGATGGACCAACACATCCTTTACTGTCCTTAAATTATATGTTAAAATTTGACAAAGTATTTTTGAATGAAATATGTTAATAATAAGAATGTCAAAATATTTTTCATGTGATAAGGTTGTGGTAATAATTGTCTATTTTGATCGTTAAAGTCCATAAAAAAAACTTTTAGGCATACTGGGAAAACGTGCTGAAGTCAATTCTTCAAAATGTTGCAGGAAAAATAAAATAACTTCTTCAGAAGGAAAAGCAGTCAAACCTTCTGGAGTAACTGGATTGACGAGGTCTGACATAGCTCAAAAGTGTAGCACTCAGCTCATCATTACGTAACACTTGTTTTCCAAAACAGAGATATATAGTTAATATTTCAATGTCAGAACATGAACAAAATCTGAAGCAAACTTTTTTTTGCTCTGAAAGAGTACTCAGTTGTGGTTCTAGACAAAACTCACACCATGGTACAATTAGAATACTCAGTTGTGGTTCTAGAAAAAACTCACACCATGTTACAATTAGATTACTCAGTTGTGGTTCTAGACAAAACTCACACCATGGTACAATTAGAATATTCAGTTGTGGTTCTAGAAAAAACTCACACCATGGTACAATTAGAGTACTGAGTTGTGGTTCTAGACAAAACTCACAACATGGTACAATTAGAATACTCAGTTGTGGTTCTAGAAAAAAACTCACACCATGGTACAATTAGAGTACTGAGTTGTGGTTCTAGACAAAACTCACACCATGGTACAATTAGAGTACTCAGTTGTGGTTCTAGAAAAAACTCACACCATGGTACAATTAGAATACTCAGTTGTGGTTCTAGACAAAACTCACACCATGGTACAATTAGAATACTCAGTTGTGGTTCTAGACAAAACTCACACCATGGTACAATTAGATACTCAGTTGTGGTTATAGACAAAACTCACACCATGGTACAATTAGAGTACTCAGTTGTGGTTCTAGAAAAAAACTCACACCATGGTACAATTAGAGTACTGAGTTGTGGTTCTAAAAAAAAACTCACACCATGATACAATTAGACATTGGAACATTATTAAGCTATGGAAGATATTCATAATGTAATTTAATCCAGTGGATCAGCTAATTTTCACAAAGCCATCCCAAATTTGGAACTGATACACTAAAGGGAAGACAGTTAGTCACCAGCTCCCAGTATCGACATTTGGGCTACTCTCCTACTAACAAATAGTGGTATTTCACACTCACTCTTATAATACACCCATGGACCTAAAGTGCAGGGTAAGATTTTGTAGCAACAGTTGCAAAACAAGAACCCTCAGATTCACAGTGCAGCATGCTAACTACTAGGTCACACCTGGCTCAGACAGCTAAGTTGCAACAAGACATTTCTGAAACTAGTGCTGTATTGGAATATTTTAACAAATGATGTTGACTACTGCATTTTCAACAAAAATGGTCTACACTGTTAACACCAGATGGTACAACTTACCCCAGGATTTATAGGCCCAAGGGGTTGACCTCTTGGAGAGTTCATCCTTGGGTTAATAGAGCTAATGCCAGGTGGTCCTGAAAATGAAGATATGTTATGAGTGTCTTGATTTAAGATCATAACATGAATTACATATTATATGAAATTATAACATGTTTCTGTTATCAGTGTCTATATGTGCTCTCTATTTTAAACAGAAAGTGGTGGAATAAATGAATTACAAACATATAGCTTCAAACTGTACTCTATAAATGTGGGTATTCTTGTCTTCATAGATGTTTTGGAACTAATATATCAAGACTTCTATAATATATATCTTCTACACAAGGTGGAGATTCTATTGTTAGGTTTATGTTATAACTAGTTTTAGGTTCTATGCTACATTAAGATTTGAAGTTAGGTTTGGGTTATAAACTAGATTTGTTTGTTTGTTTTGAATTTTGCGTAAAGCTACACATGGGCTATCTGCATTAGCCATTACCATCCACCGCCAACTCTTGGGGCTACTCTTTTACCAATGAATAGTGGGATTGACCATCACATTATAATGCTCCCATGGCTGAAAGGGCAAGCATGTTTGGTGTGAAAGGGGATTCGAACTTGCGACCCGCAGATTGTGAATCGAGCACCCTAACCACCTGGCCATGCCGGGCCCAAACTAGATTTAAATTCTATTTTAGGTTTATATTGTATATTAAATTTTGTATAGAATATACACTTAGTTTGTATTCAACATTAGGTTTTGTCTGGATTCTGTGCTAGGTCTGCATTCTACATTAGATTACTAGAAATATTAGTGTAGCTACATGAATGTGATAAAATAATATACTAACGATAATATGTGTATTTCAGAGAGAGAGAAATACACAGATTAGTGGATTTCAGTTCTTTTTTTGTTTTTTTGCCTACAGTTCAAACACTTCTCCACCCTGATGACAGAGAATACATTTCTGTTCTAATGCAGGGAATATTTCAAACTTCAAGCACTTCTCCACCCTGATGATAGAGGATACATTGCTGTTCTAATGCAGGGACTATTTCAAACTTCAAGCACTTCTCCACCCTGATGATAGAGGATACATTGCTGTTCTAATGCAGGGACTATTTCAAACTTCAAGCACTTCTCCACCCTGATGACAGACGATACATTGCTGTTCTAATGCAGGGACTATTTCAAACTTTAAGCACTTCTCCATCCAGAGTACAGCACTTTTCCCCTTGTAATAACTGTTACATATTTGTTTTGGACTGACTCATTAACATATTATGTATCTTAATTGGTTTTATATATGAAATGGATTCAGTTAGAGTATTTAAAATAATTATCAGACTGGAAATTACAACTGATCATGCCTCTTGTTAGTTTGAAATTATCTATTTAAGATTAATCTAGATCTGAAGGTACTTTAGTTGGGAACAATATGATAATAGATCTAAGTATGTAAAATATTTTTCATTAACCTTTACAAAACTAGTAAGCTATTTGACCTGGTAATCTTCAAAATCAAGATATTTTTAAAGGAGGAACATCTACTTGTTTGGCCACAAAGATTATGGAACAGGTAACACATCTTTTTCAAATATAGGTGACTGTTTTCCAGAGCATAAAGTGTTCAGTTGGGAAATCCTAATAATTTTAATGGCATGTAAATTAATCTGGTAATGATGGTTTAAAGAAATTAATTTGGAACTGATGGTGAAATAAGTTCATCTGATACTGGTGATGTAAAGTTAATCTTGGACTGATGGTGTAAATAAGTTCATCTGATACTGGTGATTTAAAGTTAATCTTGGACTGATGGTGTAAATATATTCATCTGATACTGGTGATGTAAAGAAGTTCATCTGGGACTGATGGTATAAAGAAGTTCACCTGTGAGTGGTAATTCATCTGGGATTGATGGTGTAAAGAAGTTCATCTGGGACAAATAGTGTAAAGAAGTTCATCTGGGACAGATAGTGTAAAAAGTTCATCTGGGACTGGTGGTGTAAAAAAAGTTCATCTGATAAAGGTAATGTAAATATGTTAATCTGAGACTGATGGTGTAAATAAGTTAACTTGGGACCAATGGTGTAAGAAGTTCATCTGGGACTGGTAGTGGAAAGAAGTTCATCTGGGACTGATGGTGTAAAGAAGTTCATCTGGGACTGGTGTTGTAATGTTAATCTTCAACTGATAGTGTAAATAAGTTAACTTGGGACCAATGGTGTAAAGAAGTTCATCTGGGACTGATGGTGTAAAAAGTTCATCTGGGACTGGTAGTGTAAAGAAGTTCATCTGGGACTGATGGTGTAAAGAAGTTCATCTGGGACTGGTGGTGTAAATAAGTTCATCTGGGACTGATGGTGTAAAGAAGTTCATCTGGGACTGATGGTGTAAAGAAGTTCATCTGGGACTGGTGGTGTAATGTTAATCTTCAACTGGTGGTGTAAATAAGTTCATCTGGGACTGATGGTGTAAAGAAGTTCATCTGGGACTGGTGGTGTAAAGAAGTTCATCTGGGACTGATGGTGTAAAGAAGTTCATCTGGGACTGGTAGAACTTATTTACACCACCAGTCCCAGATGAACTTCTTTACACCATCAGTCCCAGATGAACTTCTTTACAATATAAGTGAAAGTATGCCTACATTTTTAAGCATATTCAACAACAACACCTGGATAATTTCATGTCGATATAGTCAGGTGAAAGATGTCAAGAGGTGGAGAAGAAACAACTCGGGATTTTTACTGTGAGGAGATACAAAAAGTATAACTTCAAACATAATGCTATACATTTCTTTCACAGCGATGTAACCACTACGTAACATGTGCTGTACTAAAATACACGTGTTGTGCGTGTCACCAAGTAGTACCCATAGCTATGAATATAAAACATTTACATGAGAAACTGTTTAAAGTACATCTGAAGTTGGTTCACACAAACATTACCAAACATACGGTTGTCATTACATTATTTTCAGCTTTCTTTGTTTACTTTTTCAGATTCTCTAGTTGAAGTTTTGAAAATATAATCTCTGCATTTCGATTCTACTTGTTTCTACTTTTTTGACGATCCCTATTCCCCTTTTCAAATTAACATTTTTTACTAACCTTGTATATAATGATTATACACGTATAAATCGAGGCCATTATTCTTTGAAAATATAACGGGAACTATATCACTGAAGTTCTAATGGCACATTTGATTTAGCACAGCTGTTGCTGAGGGGCAGAGTACGGTGATGTCATAACTCACAAACGCATTAGCCTTTGTTCTGTTAGTGGTCAAGTTCGTCTTCTCGTCAGTTCTCACTCACATTTAACGTCCTTAATGTATTTCTGTAACTTTTTTTTTATTGTTTATATATATATATACACACACACACACAGACACGTGAAGTAAATATCTTCAAACTTAGAACCTTTGATTAATCAGAACCAACTTTATAACTAGCGAACTGCTGGAACGATTGTCATTAAACTTGGTATGTACCCTTAGGGCTGACATAGAGGGTTTCATGCTCGAACCTGACCCCCTATTTCTCCCCCACCGCAATGAACGGGTTCTTCGGCTAGCACCCAATATTTGGAGAGCCACGATGGGTATTATCAACTATTCATTCTACTGTACAGACTGCCATTCAACACGGTATTACCAATTATTCATTCTACTGTACAGAGTGCCATTCAACACGATATTATCAACTATTCATTGACTGTACAGATTGCCATTCAACACGGTATTACCAACTATTCATTCTACTGTACAGACTGCCATTCAACACGGTATTACCAACTATTCATTCTACTGTACAGAGTGCCATTCAACACGATATTATCAACTATTCATTCTACTGTACAGAGTGCCATTCAACACGGTATTATCAACTATTCATTCTACTGTACAGATTGCCATTCAACACGGTATTACCAACTATTCATTCTACTGTACAGAGTGCCATTCAACACGATGAATAGTTGATAATATTGAATGGCAATCTGTACAGTAGAACCACGGTATTATCAACTATTCATTCTACTGTACAGAGTGCCATTCAACACGGTATTACCAACTATTCATTCTACCCCCCCCCCCCCCCCATTACTGAATTTGCAAAAGTTCGAGTTAAAGTAGGGAAAATAAAAATTAGAGGTTATGCAAATTTAATGTACAAACTGAACGATAGATAAA